TGGTAAAGAGTTTGATTACAGGTTTACAGGCAAAGACGCACGGATGTTCTTGCACAATTTTATGTACCTTTTAGATATTCTCGAGAAAGATTCCACTGGTATGCAATCTAAACATCTTCATATTCATTCTTTTCTTTGTCTTTGCCTTAGAGACTCAGTTTCCTTGTTTAGCCGTATTAAAATCACAGATGGACAGGTAAGTATGTTAAAGCAGCATTGTTCTAATTTTGTCCGTGGATACTCACTGTTTTTTTCGGTGAATCCCACGATCTGGACCCTTGGGCATGTTGTCCCCATGCATACCAAGGAGATGAAAGGTAAGTATGGTTTAGGTTTGGGTATGAATTCAATGGAGGGAAGAGAGGCTAAACATATAGCAATTTCAAGGTACTGTAAGAACACTGCATACCTGTATCGATGGGAGCAGGTTTTCCGGCATGAATTTATTTCCCTTATTTGGCTTCGAGAAAAAGGTTATAACATCAAAAACCCTTCAATTTCCAGAACACTATCTTATATCCCGAAGCGCATCAATGACAGTGACAAATATTGCCAGTGTGGTCTCGGTAAATTGGGAAGTAAAAAACAGTGCCGCTTCTGTAACCATGATTTAGGAAGCAAAATCAAGGTTAGTATTGAGAAAGGCAAGATTCTTGTTTAAAGGCTGTTTTCCTTTCCAGCTTTTTTATTAACTGTTGATGTAATAAATTGAGAGACATTGTATAATCAATCGAAAGACAACTTAAAGTGTATGTCTACACACTTGTCTTTATCTAAAATTTTTGCAATGCAAAACATAATAACATTAAATGAAAATTTGATTGGATCAATTTCTTTGAGTGTGAACTGTGAATGTTTGCCGGTTGGAATGGAAATCAGCCTTGTGTTGTGCACTTATTGATTTAAAGCCTGGTTCACACTTCTTGTAAGAATCTGGGATCCTCTTGGCTGCGCAAAATCCTTTGTCTGTTGGAAAATAATACATTCGATTCCCGATTCTTAGAATCTAGTGTGAGTCAGGCAAGGCCTAAATCAACCAAAATCAGGCTATTATTTGACTTATCGCACAGGCGGCGGTTGAAAAGTAAATATGCGCATAGTTGAGAGTTCGTAACTTCAAATTACAGCACAGGACCAGATGTTGCATAGCTAACAGCCCTTTGAATAACCGGGTCCAGGTTAAATGTTTCTATTTCATGATATATGCCCAATTGTATTTTCAGTTTAATGCATAATTGCTTTTATACTGATGGTTGAAACTCTGTTATTTTTTAATTCAGTGGCAGTGCTAAATTATTCTGCGATCATCTAGAGATCCATTCCAAAATGTGAAAATTTGATCCTTCAAACCTGTGGTATGGAACGTGGCCATGGGTACGAACTATTGCAGTATTGGTAATTTCTGCAAGTGCATACTCTAAATCTTTCCTTTTACAGTTACAGAAATTATATAGCCCCCTTTACATCACAGTTAACTGTGTCTGGGATAATATTTATTCAAAATTTGGTGCGAGTAATACCAGCAGTACTAATTTTGGGTTTTTTGGTGGTTAGCATTGTTATGCGCACTAAACAGCCCTTCTTCATTTATGAGCCCACGTGTTTCTTCATTTTGGGTCTTTTTACAGGCAATTTCTCCGTATAATATAATAATTTTGCTCAAACACTAACTCCAGTGCTTTATAATTTCAGTGCAGTTCAACACTCGGTGCCGTAAAAATAATATATTCAGAATTTCCCCGAATTTGTTTCATTTTTGTCCAGCTGAGAGTGAGAGAAATGGCACGTATAACTGTAGTGTTGATGCGGTCATGAGTTAACATAACAGCTGGGAATCAGTCGGATTATAGAAAATTTGTGTTAGCAAATTTCTCTTATCTGGTATTTTATTATTCCTTTTTTTTATACGTTTATCTCTGCAAAAAAATTAGCGTTTGACCAATGCAGTTAATGTGTTAAAATCATACATTTTGTACTTTAATTATCACTTGCAACATTGTGGTAATTGCTTGTACCACATATAACAGATTCCCCACAATGTTATGTTAAGTAAATGAAATCTGAACACTTTATTTTTAAGTAAACTAGTAAAGCCAAACAATCATATGAAGCACAAACATATGCATAGTGCTTTATCGCTTGCAATGACACATTGTCCTGTTTTAATCCAACATTGTGTTAATTGTTAGTAGCACACATTTAAACATTTTTTATTACACACTTAATGTAAATCACACTGTAGTGTAGAGATTAAAAACATTATTAATGTTGAAAAGCCACAAAATCATATATTTCACATGCATAGTGCTTTATCACTTGCAATGACACATTGTCATGTTTAATTTTAATCCAACATTGTGTTAATTGCTTGTAGCACACATTAAACATTTTTTATGATACACTTAATGTAAATCACACTGTAGTGTGGATATTAAAAAATGCACAATACAACTATACATTAATAATGTTAAAAAGCCACACAATCATATATTCATTTCATATTCATAGTGCCTTATCTTTTGCAATGACACATTGTCCTGCTTTAATGCAAATTGTTTGTAGCATGCATTAAACATTACTTAAAGACCATTTCGAAAAAGAGCAAGAGGCCTGTTTCGAGTTGCTCCTGTCGCAAGCTACACAAAAACAAAGTTTTTCCAGTCAAACTTTAAAAATATAAAAATGATTTTGAAATTTTGACAGCAGAAAACCCGACTGGGCTCATTTTTGCATAACTCGTAACAGACCTCATGCTGTTTTTGGAATAGGTCTGTGGCACACTTAATGTAAGTGGCACTGTAGTGTAGAGATTAAAAATACACAATACAACTTTACATTAATAATATTAAAAATTAAGCCACACATAATATATGTAGTGCTTTATTTCTTGCAAAGACACATTAATATTGTCCTGTTTTGATGAGCTGTGTGTAAATTTCTGCACTTATGCCATGTGCGGTTAATGTAAATGGAACAGTAGTGTGGATGTAAAAAAGATGTAATAAAACTATACACTAAATGTTGAATAGTAATTATTGCTCTCTATGTTAGGGGACAATGAATATATATATTATAGTGATGTTAGTTTTCATTTAAAGTTTGAAGCAATATACAGTATGTTATTTATTGTACATTATAGGAACTGCACTATTGATAATAAAATAGTGATGAAGTCATCAATGTCATACTCCTAATAGAGTGACTTGTACAAATAGTGTGTTTAAACAGGTATGTACTTTTACCAAAAAAAGATTGTAAAAATAAAATATGTTGCATGAACAATGCAGTTGGTAATATATATAAGCTTGCGGTCACACTAGCGCTTGTGCTTGAAGATTACCACCGGATTAGCGTGCTTGCGTGAACACCTTGCTAATCTCGTGTTGGAATGTAAGCCAAGCACCTCGCGGTCACACTCGAAAACGTATGCGTGCTTGCTCGTTGATGTTGACAGATAAATTATCTAATAATCTAAAGTCTATTAAAAATAATTTTGTAGATTTCATATAGGGTTTCAGTTTTAAATATTTGGCGCTCAAAATGGAGAACGAGTCCTTGCTATTGCTTTATTACCAACACCAAAGAAAGCGCGCTTCTGCTAGACGCAGATCGCTTGTTAGAAGGAGAAGACGGTTGTTTCTTGCATTGCGAAGAATCAACCAAAATATAATGTATTTTCAGTATGTCCGGACCATAACACTAGCAATAATGGCTATTGCTAGAATTGTAAGTCAAATAAATCAACGCCAATTTTGGGAGATTCCAAGACCACGACTGGGTTGGTTTGAGGTGATATTTGCAGCATTTTCGTATGCGCAAAGAAACATTCTTACGACTGGTAGCTTTTGTGACCCCAGAAATCGCCAAGGAAAACACCGTTTTTCGGGTGGCTATTCGCCCCATAAGCGAGTCGCTATTGCGTTATGGCGACTGGCGGTTGGTTCAAGCTTTCGCGCTATAGCTGCTCATTTCGATGTTGGAAAGTCGACCTGTGTCACAATCACGAAGGAATTTTGCCAAGCGCTTAACCGCTTGTCAAGGCATTACATCAAATTTCCCGTCAGATATGATGAAACTACGAGAGCGTTAGCGGTATTTCAAGATGATTGCAGGTTCCCGCAAGCAGTCGGAGCAATAGATGGTACCCATATTGAAATTATTGCACCAGAGGAGCCTTTCGACTATTTCGATAGACATCATCGCTATAGTGTTATATTGCAGGCAGTCGTAGGGCAAAACCTCACGTTTTTGGACACCGCGATTGGTTATCCAGGTAGCATGCATGATGCACGAGTTCTGCGCTCGAGTGATATTTTTCAGAAGGCACAGGATGGTGAGATTTTAACGGAACCACTTGCTAGAATCAACGGAGTTCAAGTTCGGCCTTTGCTGCTTGGTGATGGTGCATACCCTCTACTACCTTGGTTAATGAAGCCTTACCCTAACGGTGCTAATCTTAATCGTTCACAACGCCGATTTAACAAGACTCTCTCTTCAGCTAGATCGACCGTTGAAAGGGCATTCAGAATCCTTAAGGCCAGATGGAGAATACTTTTGAAAAGGCTGGACAACCGATTTGAAAACATTCCAGACGTAATATTGTCATGCTGCATATTACATAATTTTTGCCAAGAGGCTGGTGAGGAGTTTGACGACGAGGAGATTTTACGAAGAATTATTCGTGTAGACAGGGAATATTTAGAAACAAGGCGGCAAGAAAACACTGTTCATAATCCAACTGCTGAACGTATTCGCTTGTTAATCGAACAGAGTTTAACCTAAATATGTCCAAGTTATGCTACGACAATCGTAGTACCATGCGTGTAATTATATAATCTATGAATTTTGAATACAATATACAATAATATTTAATAATAATAATCTTTACGATCACTTGATAACTTTTCTAAAATTATTAGAATATAATCCATGTTCAAAATATAATTATCTTTATCAATTAAAAAATGTTTATGTTTTTTTAACAGTTCATCAAGTATCATCTATCTTTTCATAATTTCAGCCATTCTTAAAAAAAACTCCTGATCTCTTCTTCGAGACTCCTCATCCAGCTTCCTCTGATCTGCTTCAAGCTTTATGAGAAGATCTTCGCTTCGCTTTTGAGCATTCTCCATCATTTTCAACTGAGAGTTTTGCATCTCTACTAGCTTTTCAGTCAAGTCGATCATAGCACTTGCCGTGGTAATCCGACCTTTCTTAGTTTTTTTTTGGTCTTTCTTTGGCGCTTTTCGTTTGGGCCGCGGTCCAGCATTTAGAGAACTCTCCAATTCTGAATCACTCGCATCTCGCCTGTCGTACTCTTGGTCAGATTCTTCGGAATCATTGAATGACTGGTCTTGCGAAGATGAAGACGAGTCCCCAAATATGGCTTGCCCACTCTGGATTATCCCTGGCATTGTCACAACGGCCCGAGTACCGAGAACTTCGTCAAACGAGTCGAAGTATGGGCTGGTTTGGGGTGGCCTTCCAGTTGCTTTGTTATTTGTCTTTGCGTCTTTGTAAGCCTTTTTTAAGTTACGAAGCTTGTCCTTGCATTGTTTAGTCGTTTTTTTGCTCCCAGCCTTGTTCACTGCCTCTACAATTTTATTCCAAGCCTCAGTCGCTCTAGAACTTTGTACCTCCTCGATCCTTTCCTTCCACTCGCTTACCAGCACACTCGTTTGCGCTTCGCCCCATTTCGATGACGATTTGGCGCCATTTCTATCGGTGTTTATTGCTGTTGATGAAGCGCCGTTTTCGTCAATATTTGTAGAATAACTCCGTATTCTGTTCTCGTTCGAGCAGGTCGAGGGGCCATCGGAACTGTTACCAGGAGCAGACTGAGATTGTACGCGTTGCGGTTGGACAGGAGCTTGAGGAAAATATGGGTAGAATGGTGGTGGTTGTGGTTGGCTCCCAAATATCCAACTGGCTTCTGGCGTCGCACGAGCAAAAGCAGAATTGCTTTCCTGCCCATCAAAAGCGTTCGGAAACAAGAACGCAGCATCGTTTCTTTCATCGAATCTGTCTGGTGTTTGCGACATCCTTTTTTTTAAATTTTTCTAACTCGACTTTGCAGTGTTTGCGCTTCTCGCGAAGATAAAGACAAAATATTTCGAAACCACCGCTTTGTGACATTTTTAAATTGCCTGTCTATTTCCCTCTTGAAACTGAAAATTTCATTGGCTAAATTATATAATCCACTTGAGATTCACATTCTAGCACGATTCAAACATACCCTGTAGTGTGTTTGGACCGTGCTTCGCCGCCTTTGAAATTTCAAGCAAACCGTATCAGATTTCAAGCGTGCTGCAATTTCGCGTTTTGCGCGGTCAAACTACCAAGCGCGCTTGGAAGGTGACTTGTTGACAGATTCAAGTGGATTTAGTTGAAGCAAGCACGATTCTAGCGCTAGTGTGACCGCGACCTAACTAGCAGAAAACATCAAATGGGTAAGTCAAACTCCTTCCAATGATTAATAAGTTAAACTCATAAAAGGAAATCTATTAGGGGCTATTTTTAGAAACCTAATTGTGCATATATATATTCATTGTATGCAAGCCCAACTGATTTGTTTTGATATTGATTGCTATTTCCCTCATTTAAACATGTATATATGAATATACACCACCAATTATGCTTCTAGTGATGTCCCCGAATCTATTATTGATATAATAATAGTCTGAACACTCAATGTTCATTTGTTTGGCTAAGCCTTCTTATAATAAGATTCAATGACACCGCAGAAATTGGTGTTGAAAGTTAAATATCTCATCAGTTGCTCACATTTGAATCCTAGTATTCAGAAACTGCTGTCAAAGAAAATACTATCAAATAAGTTGAAAACAAGTTCAATTTTTCTTCCAATATCGGTTTTGGAAACTTTTGAAGGCTCTTCGTATGCATCTGCCACCGTAAAATGGCCATTTTGAGACATTTTCAGACATTTTCAGATGATTTGTTTTTGCCGTGTGCAAGCTTCAAATCTTTTGTGCAAGAGATATTTTGTTGAGTATTTATAAATCTTTTAGCTTGCCGAATTTAAAGTCTAAGTATTGAGAATTACGGCTAAGTCTACCAATTTCCGCGGTGTCAGATTCAATGCAAGGTGTCTGCATGGCATTTAACATATTGCAGTGTTGTCATTGTTGTCTTAACATATATCAACCCTACTCAAGAAAGCAAGGGAAATCATGCCTTGGTACCATAATTGCTGATCCTAGCCTGTATAACTGAATTTAAATAGTTATTTAAGGATATGGATGGTGGATATAATGCCTATATATGAATATAGGTTGCCATAATGCTGTTAATTACACCTAGTCACAGAGCCTACACTAAAATCTTGCTGCACCTATCCATGAACCTGTCTCAAAAGAAGTCAAATATATAAAGATATTGCCTGTCAAACCAGTTACATGATTTTCAAGATTTTAGATTTCTTCTGCAAGTCATTGCAACAACACAAATAGTATTAATGATCAAATACTAATAATTTGGCTTTTGTTTATTGCATGACTTGCAGAGGAAATCTAAAATCTAAAAAATCATGTGACAATGAAGGCAATATTTTTACATATTTGAGTTATTTTATGGCAGGTTCATAGGTGCTGCTACACCGTATTAGGTTTCCTTCTCTTCTTGAATAAGGTTGACAAATGTCCCCATGCATAGTTTTTCATAACCTAGCACTATTTTAAAAGAAATCTTGCGGCAATATAAACTTTCGTAAATAATTCAGAATCCAACACATCCTCAGTCGTAGATTACCTATAATAGGTAATTGTCAAATGCTCTTAGATTACCTATAATGGGTAAGCTAGGTGCACGTTAGTCGCTAGCTAGAACCCAGGACCATACATTACATACAACCGACACAACACGTTTCAATATGGCGACTGCTAAATGGGGAGGAAAGCGTCGTAAAAACAAACAAAGTTTGGAAGCAAGTCTTGAAGAATTACACAGAGTTGGCAAGAATTTAAAGACATCTAGTTCTAAAAAATTGAGTACGTTTTTGAATACATATGATGGTTCTGGTAAAAGGGTTCCATCGAACAAATATAAATATCGATCGCCGGCTGAACGCCATTCAAAACAAGGTGCTGCATCTAGTCAGATTGAAGGTGAATTAAACATGATTTATAGTCTTTATAGTGTAACCAGGATTTATTAAACGTACGTAGAAATGTGTCTGCGCTTTATACATGTGACGATCGTGTTCCTTTGACTTTCCAGGCGACTTGATGACTGAATCTGAATATGGCATGTTGGATTCAGATGATGAATTATATATGGCAGAAATGTCGGGCAGCAGATCGACAACAACAGGTTAGAAGTATTTAAGCTTGGTTTCTATTTAGCATTTACATGTTTTGCTTGCTGTCGTGACAACGACAAGTGGTAGATGTGATATAATCTATCTGGTCTTAACTTTATATAATTTTACGTTAGAGAGTCTCAGTAACTGCATAGAGACATGCAGCCAAATAAGCGAAGAAATTAAGTCAAGCAGTCAGTCGGAATGGACAAAAAGAATGTTGTCGGTAGAAGAAAACTGGGAAAGTAGCAGATCAGCAATATTTGATGCTCTACTCAAAAGCCATGCTGTACCCTCACCAGATAACATCTGCTTTTTATGCAATGAAGGGTGTGCAGTTGTAAGATGCCATGAATGTGGACCAAGGGTGTTGTTATGTTCTGCCTGTGATGAGAAGGTTCATGAAACAAATCCCTTGCACGACCGTGATGTGTGGGTGAATGGATTTTTTCAGGAAATACCTCCTACAACAATTGTTTCAGAAGATGGTTCCTTGGGATTTGTTAGTAAGTCACATCGAATTATTGTATACAGAATTATTTCTTCACTGCTCAACAATAACAAGATAAGTACTGTAAATTAATTTTGAATTATCAGAGAAAAAAATAGAAAAGAAGGACATCCTGGGGCACATTGCAGTTTAATAATTGGCTACCGGTATCTAATTTATATTTTAATTCAACAATTGACTATGGTAAATATACGATTAACATTCATGGTGCCCCAATGTGTTAACTTTAGCATTTTAGTATGTCTAAAGCCAGGTGATCTTACCAAGATGAATTTGTAATAGACCTTAGAGGTACTGTACTTACGTCACGGCAGTGCCAAACAATAAAATGCAGTGGAATGTGGAAACATCTAGGAACAACATCCTAATGTTTCTGTGGGTTGACTATGCAGTGTAAACACCTCTAAGATCTGTTGGAAAGTACAAACAGTACATGTATATATTAAAAAGTAGATTTAATGTACTGTGTGCAATTTGCCCCTATCTGTGACTGAATTTCTAATTATTTGTTCAATTTATCTCAACAGAGAGATGTGCACCATTTGCTTTATATAAGGCATGCTTGCTGTGTAAAGAACAAGGCTCACTGATTCTGGTTCCCTTGGATGAACCTTGCATTGTTGTGACTTCTAGAGGTAAAATAAATATCTAATTTTAAATGACTATTTTTTAATTAATAAATTAACCCATAGCAGTACTGACAGTAAGACAATAGACATCAATAGATGGTAAGTTGTGTATTTATTGAACTCATTCTGGAAATATGCAAAAGAACATTGCTCACCCCAAATGGCAAGGTCTGAATTATACTCATTATCTAGCTTGTGTTGTTTTTTCTCTTTTAATATTAGGACAATATGACTTGTCACTTTGTATGTATCGTTGTGGTAACTGTGACAAGGCATATTCACCTTCATCACTGGAAAAGATCATCAGTGAGGGTTATTGGCCTGGAAATCCAAAGCATTTCAATCATGTATTCTCACAAGATCTGTTTCGGCTCTGGGATTCTGTGAGAAAACACATGCCTGGAACATCTGAATCAGCATTCATAAGATCCCTAGGCAATCTTTCAAGCAACAATGGAAGGGTATGTTTAACTGCTTTATATTTGACTATATGGAAAGTTTCACTTTCTTGAGAAATTATTCTGAATAAATTGAAATTGTGCATGTTAGTCATGGCGTTGAACACAAACATTGCTACCAATGAAGTGATAGCTTTTATTGTGAAAAGAAGTAGAAAAATGCAAAATCAAAGTAATTCAGATTTATCCAAGAAAGTGAAGAAACTGCAGGGTTCTAGTGATGGGGTATTTGGAAATTACAAGTCTATTAGTAAAATTGGGGAGAATTTCAGTACTACGAAAGCAGATTGAAAGAGCATAATTAGGGACATGTTGATAAATATTTTTAACTTAGATTTAGAGTAGACAAGGGGAACTACTCGAATAGGGCCAATCTCATGTTTCATCTGCAAGAACATTAGTATACATATTGCAATAAGTTCTATCTTTGTATCTTGAATAAATTATTTGAGTACTAAATGTAAATTTATCTTTTTATAATTTGTTCTAGTCATCTACTATCAATGTCACAGTATTTCATCGTGCATTTAAGGAATGGTGTTTTGCCATGCATGAGATTGATGTTTTAAAAGGGAGAAACTGGATGGAATGTCCTTGTTGCTATAAAAACCAGCATTCCTGTCATGTTGATGGAAATGCGAAACTATACAGATATAGTTGTGTTCCAAGGTACAATTACTGTATATTAATTTTCACAATTTTCCCTCTTGTACTATAAAATTGGTGTTTCATTATCCCAAAGAAAGTGTGCATGCTTAGACTTTACACATTCAATTAATATGCAGGGACAGAAATAAATGTCATTGTGACCTGTATATTGAGTGATCTGTATATATTTTAATAATGCAAGTTTAAAAATTTAGTCTGTTAAGTTTATTTTTGTTTTCGTTTCCATTTTAATTTTAATTATACCCTACTGAAGCTATTAGCTTATATTTTCTGAATTTCATATGTTATATAATAATATACATAATTTACTTGAACAGCTGAATATACAATGCATCAAGCTAGCTATATTTTCAGATAATTCTGGGGGCTAAGAAGTGGAATGAAGAAGTACGTGAATCATATTTTATTTAATGTGACAAGACACTCAAGATTACTACCTTTCTATTTTTGCAGAGGTGAGCGAAAATGTTATTACGGTAACGTTTTTGTGGAGGAATATGATGCTGTTGAAGCTCATCTAGATATTGTTTATGCATCAGCATCGTCAAAGGTATGTTACAGTATATGTTTCTTACACATATTTATTATAATCACAACACATTGTGTCAATACAAGCTAACCAGTTCTAGACGTTTGAGTTTTTTTGACATTTCTCTTCCAGAAAAACACCAGTAATTCGTATTGTGGTACATCAAATTGGAAAGCAGCCAGAAATACTGCAAATGTGCGATCAAAGTTAGATGAAACTGGGCTTGTAGTAGCTGGCTGCAAACATGCCCTTGCACAAAGTGCTCTTAATATGTACAGAGGAGAATTATTTGGGTACACACATTACTTGCAGATTAATAGATTGGTTCCTCAAGGTGTCATGTTCTTATGGCAGGATGTTGTGTGCAAGTATTGGCCATGGTTTATGTCACTTCCCAAAGAACTCTCTCCCCAAGATACCTTCCTTATGAAACCTGCACTTTCTATTATGCATGGAAAAGCGCATATTTGGTCTTGTCAGGTAATTAGTGCACAATATTGAGCAATAAACATTCTGCACAGTAACCTAAATTTAATTGTAACATTTTTCATCTCATGAATGTTGGAGCAAATACGAAAAGGAAACTACTGTAGCCGTTATTAATAAAGTAAACAATTAATAATATTGTATTTTTTAAGGTGACATGGGGAGGCAAGGATGGCAAGGGAGCGCATATACGACTGGTGAGGAAGTGGAGCAAATAAACAGCTACATATCGAGATTGGGGTCAACAACAAAGTATATGAATGCTGGAGGTAAGATATCTTGCTGTACAAATGTAGATATCTCGAGTTGTTTCTTTTTCTATAAGAAATTTTCTTCTTAGAGTGACACTTTGGAGAGATTAAGATGATTTTATTTTGTAGGTCGTGACGAAACTATAACTGAACATGTCATGCACTGGAACAAACAGAAAGTTATGAAACTTCACATAAGTCTGTCCAAAAGATATATTGAGGTACAATACGTAGAGTTATCTTTAGTTAACATTACAGCTTTTTACAATTTTTACATTTAATTCCTTTTTTATTATTACTGACAATCATTAGATTAAAAGAATGATTGAAGCAAATGAAGAGGAATTGAAGAATGAGATGAACGCGATTGGTTGTCACGATCAGCTAGAAAGTGGGGAGTTAGAAACCTGGAAAGAAGCGATAGCCATATGTGGAAAACGTATGTGACTTGCATTGCCAATGGTGTATTTTGTAGAAATGCAGTGTTATAGGTTGTTTTCTTTGTAATACAGGTAGTCAGTTTGGGGAAGTCGTTTTAAGTAAACAGGAAAATCAATTGGTTCAATATTATCAGCTTAATATTGAGATTTCTGAAGCAACTTCTCTGAAGCCGTTCGTGGAGGAAGCTCGTGATGGTGTTGGTGCTGCACTTGTCACTGGGAATGGTGAGCTGTTCAAGAAAGCACTGCAGAAGCAAGAGGAGATTGATCGCAAGAAAAAGCAGTTGGCCAAACTAGAATCTCTTTTGGATATTTGTGGATGTCAGACGAAACGAACAGATGCTTTGGAAAGAGGAAAGCGACTATTGGCTTCTCAGAAACGCAAGGAAATTCACGAAAATATTGAGATGATGAGTTTTTCAATTTCCCAGAGAGTGAAGAGTATTGGTCGATTAGCAGGTTAGATTTGTAATAATGAACATTTTAGTTGTTTCACAATAGTGAAACGTGACCTTTAGTTATACGGTGTTTACCAAATATGATCTATACAGATAGGGCATCTTTGTACTCTACTATCTCTGCAGGAAGAATGATAAGTTTGAAAGTGACACCTTCATGATACAAAGTCAGTGCGATTTTTAACTTTTTTTCAGGAGATTTTTTCATTACTTGTCGAGCAGCGGCCGGTTGTATAAAAAAGTGATTAAAGTTAACTATAGTTAAGTGGAAATGTCATCCAATAAGAAGCGCGTATTTGGAAGTTTAATCACTATTTAACTACTTTTTAACTGCAGTTAGCGCTAACTACGTTTTTATACAACTGGCCCCTGATTAATACGTCCTTAATATCTTAACGGTAGTTATAAATCACGTTCTTTTCACAGATTCTTCTAAGCAGCGTTCAAGACTACGCAGTAAGAATACAAGCGAAAGAAAGAAATTGGAAGATCTAATCGCGCAGCTAAATATGGTAGAGAATATGCTTGGTGAAACTGAAGATGTTCTTACTTCTGCCCAGGCTGTTAATGGTCATTTTCCATGGATTAACGAAGAAGATAGCAGTGGTAATTTATCATGTACTGTAGTTAATAGCGTTATAACATTTTGAGTTATTTTGTCTACATATCTTCTCAAATTTGCTTTCATTACTTTCAAAACTTAACAAATTTCGTCGGTTTGTCATATCGCGTCAGGTGTGTCTGGACCTTTATCTTGTAGCAAAAGTGCCCGCACTACAGGGTGTATCAAAAAAAACTGAACAGATTTGAATTCACTCTCAACTTCGCGAAACGGCTCCAGCTACGTCGTTCTTGACTAATATGGATTGTTTGGGTACTTATAATGTAGAGTTAATGAAGAAAAAATTAAATTTAAAGGGGAGGGTATTTCTCGCAACAAATGAAAAATGGCTTGCGCACGAAATCTGAATGCTTAAAAGTTATTTTGAGTTTGTGGATGGAAAAGTTAGTGGGTGAAGTATTGCTGCTCAAAATTTCAAAATAATCGATTAAGTGTAAGCCCTCTAAAACGTCGCCCAAACTTGCATTTTATGAAATAAATCATGTTTTTGCATGCTTATAATTTATGCCAGTTTACCTAATCTGCATATTGCCAAATCGCCTTTGCTCTCAAGGGACATTTAATTTGAATTGAAATTTTGCTTCAGGAAAATATTTTTCTATGGAATTCACTGTTCTAAAACACTTCGCATTGTTTGTCTCATTTGAAACGTTTTAAAATGGTTAGGCCACAATTCACTCCACGGCAGAGAGCTTTTATTGTAACTGAGTACTATCGAAACAATGCTAACGTTCTCAGAGTTCTTCAAAGATTTCAGCAGGAGTATCCCAATGCACGCTGTCCTTCACGTGGGACAGTCTACAGCAACGTACAAAAATACGCTATCACGGGGACCAGTTTGAATTTGAACAAGGGGAGATCTGGTCGCCAAAGAACTGCAAGAAGTGCGGAGAACATTGAAGCGGTGCGGAATGCCATTCAAGAAGCTCGCGAACAGGCGCCTGAAATGCGTATTAGCTGCCGTCGAAACGGCCTTGGTTTGTCTTCTGCCACATTCAACAGGATAACTCGACTGGATCTACATTTTCACCCCTATCAGATGATAAAACGGCATGAACTTCTTCCTGGTGACCTTCCGCGACGAGTACAGTTTTGTGAGTCGCTTCTTGATAAGAACGACCGGTTTCTCGACGATTTGTTAATTGGTGACGAGTCCGGTTTTGCCCTAAATGCCTCGGTTAACACACACAATATTCGAGAATACTGTCCACGAGGTGAACGACCTTTAAATTTCGAGTATGTAAGAAATGATGACCGGCATAAGCTGACGGTGTGGGTTGGTTTAATGGGAAATGGGACTGTTGTAGGTCCGTTTTTCTTTAGACACAACATCGATGGGGAAGATTATTTAGAACTGATCGATGGCGAGATAGTCCCAGTGTTACGGCGAATGCCCCGTTATCGCGGCAGAAGAAATGGCCAGTTTCAACGAATTTGGTGGGCACAGGATGGTGCACCTCCACACAGAAGGAGAATAGTCACGGATCGCTTGACAGAGCTATTTGGAGATCGCGTTATTGCGTTGAATCGTGCCGTGGAATGGCCACCAAGATCGCCTGACCTCACTCCACTTGATTTCTTTCTCTGGGGCTTTTTAAAAAGCAAGGTTTTTCAAACACCGCCAGAAAATCTTGATGAGCTAGAGCGTCGAATTCGGCGTGAGATGGGTATTTTAAGTCAAGGAAGAGCACTGGTAAGACGTGCTGTTTTTGAAATGCTACGAAGGGCGCGCGTTTGTTTACAACGAAATGGAGGACATGTTGAGGACTAAGATACATTAACTTCTTCATAAACTTGTTGAGTGATTCAAGATATGTATGTTGTGTGTAAAATTCGTTTTGATAAACTTTAAGTTTATGAATTATAAAATGTTATAGACAACATTAAAAGAACATTTTTCTGAAGCAAAGTTCTAATTCTAATAATGTCCCTTGAGAGCAAAGGCGATTTGGCAATATGCAGATTAGGTAAACTGGCATAAATTATAAGCATGCAAAAACATGATTTATTTCATAAAATGCAAGTTTGGGCGACGTTTTAGAGGGCTTACACTTAATCGATTATTTTGAAATTTTGAGCAGCAATACTTCACCCACTAACTTTTCCATCCACAAACTCAAAATAACTTTTAAGCATTCAGATTTCGTGCGCAAGCCATTTTTCATTTGTTGCGAGAAATACCCTCCCCTGGATTACGAAAATCTAAATTTAATTTTTTTTTCATTAATTCTACATTATAAATACCCAAACAATCTATAATAGTCAAAAACGTCGTACCTGGAGCCGCTTTGCGAAGTTGAGAGTGATTTCAAATCTGTTCAGTTTTTTTGATACACCCTGTAGTTATAACCTTAATTGATTACTGTCAGTAACAACTAACAATATGTTAATTATTATATACAAAATTGTATTAATATATCCAGTAACGGTTTTTTTATTATAGGTATAGTCCCGTTGCGGGCAAAGAGGAAGGGCTGTGGAGATTTTCCTGATTGGTAAACATCTCAAAGAAGAAATTTCACTTCTGGAGCAGGAAATGGTTCGATTTCTCTGTTATTACAGAGATAAAATCATTCTAGATCTTTCTTCACGTTTTAATTCGTTAGAAGAAGGTACTTATCAGCAAAAGTGTAGACTTCCAGGAGAGTTTTTATTAATTTTTTTTAATGTTAAGGTTGCTTGCCAGATGACGATTCCATCTTGTGCGAGACCGATAATGGACAATCTGATGAGGTATTGAAACATAAGATTGGGTGTTCTCATGATCAATTATGGTCTTAGTCTATTTTTGTTTTTGTGTTTGTTCTCAAAGTTTTTCACGTTGCTTTTTAGGTTGTTGTTGTTGTTGTCGTAGTTGTTATTCGTGGTTTTTAAATGTAGTTGCTTTCATTCAATGTTTTCATGCTTTATATAGGGAAAATACAAACTGACACGATCCAACCAACAGGCAATAGATGGGCAAAGAGCTCTTTTGAACGCGGGTATTTATTTCAGTAAAACCCGGTTGAAAGAAGGTACAATTGTCTTCAAACACATTGCCGAAGGAACATTTGAAGAGCTACTTCTTGATGAGGATTTCACTGGCGAAGTGGATCGTTTGTTTGAGGAGGAAGAGGATGAAATTGAGGAGGACGAAGATGAAATTGAGGAGGGAGAAGATGAGGAGGCACAAGAAGAGAATTGAACAATAGACTAAATCCAGCGACAATGAGTGGGTGGCACCCCATGATACCCCTGCCTTTGAGCAGCTAATACGGGAGAAATCTTCTCGGGGGACTGGAAGCCTTGGTCTAAACACGCATTTGCTGTGATGTGATTCACATTTTAGAATTTAATTACGTAAATTAAGTAACTTTGTACCCCATTATTTTCAAATTTCCTAATATAAAGGGTTTTGATGTAGTGTGTTTTGTTACTGTAAAAATTATTAGAAATAAAAATATTAGAAATTATTTGTTATTTTGTGTTCCCATGTTGTTCCCTCCCCTCCCATGTTGTTAAGTTCTCACTCATTCCCGTTTGTCGTTATCTGTCATACCCATGTTAGTACCGTATCTATACCACTTGGTTGTAATTGAACGCAGCTGTTAACCAGTTGCAATATTCAGTGTACGAATTAATTGAGGAAGTATCTGTGATTCCTCGGCTGCTTATGGGAGTAGAGTGATCCACTCGCATCATAACTGGGAAGCGAATCCGTCCCAAACGACCGGTAGCGGGCAAAATTGTAATAGCTAGATAATGGTAATACTGATATATTATGATTAAGTATGAGGCTTTGCTGACTAGTTATTAGCGTCAAATAAAATATCGCTATTTTATAAAAATTTTATTATTTTGGGGTAATTTTGTGGCGTAACTGGTATGAACTATTGTAGTCATATGGTATCGTGGTAAATATAACCCCGATTTTAATAAAATATCGCTATTTTATAAAAATTTTATTATTTTGGGGTAATTTTGGGGCGTAACTGGTATGAACTACTGTAGTCATATGGTATAGTGGTAAATATAACCCCGATTTTAATAAAATATCGCTATTTTATAAAAATTTTATTATTTTGGGGTAATTTTATGGCGTAACTGGTATGAACTATTGTAGTCATATAGTATAGTGGTAAATATAACCCCGATTTTAATAAAATATCGCTATTTTATAAAATTTTATTATTTTGGGGTAATTTTGGGGCGTAACTGGTATGAACTACTGTAGTCATATGGTATAGTGGTAAATATAACCCGATTTTAATAAAATATCGCTATTTTATAAAAATTTTATTATTTTGGGGTAATTTTATGGCGTAACTGGTATGAACTATTGTAGTCATGTGGTATAGTGGTAAATATAACCCCGATTTTAATAAAATATCGCTATTTTATAAAAATTTTATTATTTTGGGGTAATTTATGGCGTAACTGGTATGAACTATTGTAGTCATATGGTATAGTGGTAAATATAACCCCGATTTTAATAAAATATCGCTATTTTATAAAACTTTTATTATTTTGGGGTAATTTTGGGGCGTAACTGGTATGAACTACTGTAGTCATATGGTATAGTGGTAAATATAACCCCGATTTTAATAAAATATCGCTATTTTAAAAATTTTATTATTTTGGGGTAATTTTATGGCGTAACTGGTATGAACTATTGTAGTCATATGGTATAGTGGTAAATATAACCCCGATTTTAATAAAATATCGCTATTTTATAAAAATTTTATTATTTTGGGGTAATTTTGTGGCGTAACTGGTATGAACTATTGTAGTCATATGGTATAGTGGTAAATATAACCCCGATTTTAATAAAATATCGCTATTTTATAAAAATTTTATTATTTTGGGGTAATTTTGTGGCGTAACTGGTATGAACTATTGTAGTCATATGGTATAGTGGTAAATATAACCCCGGTTTTAATAAAATATCGCTATTTTATAAAAATTTTATTATTTTGGGGTAATTTTATGGCGTAACTGGTATGAACTATTGTAGTCATATGGTATAGTGGTAAATATAACCCCGATTTT